GTAAAAATAAGAGTTCCTTTGGAATTCTTCAGCTATTAAGAACTGAATTTTATAATTAAGTAGTCTGTATCTAGTAGATTGTGAAAGAATGATTATCAGTTCCACACACAGAGATATATAAATTCTACATTTATTTAAATGAGGGGAAAAAAACGGTATCGGTTATAGGCCAATACCGAACCCTAGGTATCGGTATCGGAGGCAAAAAAGGCGGATCGGAGCATCCCTACTTCATGAAGCTTCGAAACCTTTTCGAATCTTTATTTCGAATCACTGGTTCGAAGCGCCAATCAAGTCACGTGACTTCAGTAAACGAGGCTTTGTTTCGTCACAACTGAATCATGCTGATCCTCTGAGATGGGATTTGTAAAAGCAGTTTTTAAGCAGTTTGGCCTGAGTTTCTGTTGCATTTACACTATTCTGACCAGCAGGCGTCACTGGTGCCTTGAACGCTTCAGAGCAGTGAATCGTTTCGTGAAGAAATTGGTCCAATTGATTCAAAGCTTTGAAAAGCTTTGTTTATTCCATCACGTCTGCGGTTCACTTCACTTTTTTTCTGCCCTTCTCTGTCTTGTTGATTTGGATGTATGCCATTGATTACGCTGGACAAGCGCCCTCTACTGGCGGAAACCGTGCAGTGTGTTGAAATTAAATGTCCTAATGGTGTGTTCAAGTCCTCTTGGGAAGTTCATATTTACGAGTTGTCGGAGTTGACAACAAGTCGTAATTACGACTTCAGGTGCTTCAAGAAGGGTTATGTGTGTAAAGACCCCCTGTGGTGAAAATCAAGTTTTTAACATTGTTTACATGTCAATTAACCTAGTTTACATCTGGTATTTTTAATATGCTTGAAGACAAACTATGGACAAATACTATGCATAGTAGGGTTGTAACGGTGAGGAAATGTTCCCACCGGTTAATCGACATGTGACAACACCGGTAATACCGGTATCACCGCGGGGGCGGGGCGTTCCCTCTTTTCCTCTCTTTTAAATAGCTTTTAAAAGCGGCGTGCGCATTTTACTTTCACTTTCGAATTAGCGGCAATTCGGCGTCAATTGCTTGAATGCAACAACAAAATACAACGTCAAACTCACTTTAGCCCATATATAAAACAGAACTTTTATTAACAAAACAAATACACCATGCTATAGGGCAAGCTGTGCCTAATATAAAATAACAAATAACTTTCATAAAGTTTAATAGGTATACAAAACTGGAAATATGTAAACATGTATAATATATAACCAAATAAATAAGAAGCATAGAACGTTTATTAGCAAAAAGAATGTCAAGTAAAATAAATAAATGACACAAAGTTTAAATAAATTAAAAATCAACGGCAAAAGTCAACAGGCTTGTCAAAATCCAAAATATTGCCAACAGGCGCTTTTCCATCTAGTTTCGAAACTAAATCATCCGCCATCGTCTCGTCTGTCTCGCCTCACCTCGCTCGTCTCGTCTGTCTCACCTCACCTCACTCGTCTCGTCTGTCTCACCTCACTCGTCTCGTCTGTCTCACCTCACTTATTCAGTCATCTTCTTCTGGGAGGATAATAACCTCATGCTCCACACTAATAAACTATAACAGATTACATACAGTCTGAGACACAGCTTTGAGTTCACTTGTAAAGTTACACTTAAAGCCAAAATACACTTACATTAGAACAAACTTGTTAGTTTTTTTTTATTAAATTGAATTTAAATAAAAGCCCAAATGCAATGTTTAATGAGTTTGTAAACACTATCACACACATTATAGAAGCGCGTTTATCAAATACGTGAGTAAGGCTTGATCTTCACTAATATGCATTAATCTCAATAACTGCTGCAACATCGCCTCTTTCTGTGAGAGAGTGTGTGGCTCTTAAAAGAGCCGTTGGGTTCGCGCTGGAAGGCGG